ATAAATTGCAATTTTGACAAAAAAAATCGCATAATTCAAAAACAAAATAAAATTTCGTACTCAAAATACTATCACATTTTTTATATTACTTTAATTTATATAAATTATTATTTTCTGGAGGCAAATGATTAAAAAAAACCGCTTGGTTCCATACTTTATATTCACCCTGTATAAAAAAACGTACTTTATATCAAGAAACCTTAATAACTGGAATAATTTTTGGCAATAGGAACTTTGACTTAACGATGAGGTTCCACTGTAATATAGGGAACACTTAAAAAAGTCTAGAAAAAAATATAATTGTCTCAAAACTCTTGTTACGTTGAAAACATAACTTTCATTATTAAAAAAAAGATGATTATTAAATTAATTTAATCTAAAAAAAACTTAGAAGTACATACGTGGTTATTTAAATCCCATCAAAAAGTAGACTTTTATTATTAAGCATTGTAGAATCACTTATTTAATAATAGTTATCAGTAATTCGTTCAACTTTAAAAAATAAGTAGATAAAAGACGTTTTCGATTTTATTTTGTTATTAATTTTTAGAAAAATGTTCTTCTACAAACCACTAAAATTTTACGGTATCTCGTTGACCTCTAGGACCTAAAATGCTTTATTACAACTCTGAAACGCAAATGATAATTTCCTTTAACCAAATTTGGCATTGGAATGGGTAAATTCTTCTGATGTTTAAATACATTACGAAACTACATAATCTAAATAATTATTATGTATTAACAAGATAAACCATTATTATGTTTCACCCTGTATAATATAATTTAATAGTCGAATTATGTAATAATGAGCAAATGGTGTTGTTATTAAACATTATAATAAACATTGCTTACTAGAGTACAAATATAATTTTATGTCGACATTTCATTTCATTCATTCATTGACTTTCTATTAATATTTTTTTCAGATTGAACCAAAATGAAGATCTTCCTTACTTTATCATTTTTATCAATACTTATCCTCGCGGTATATTCATTTGGAGGGAGTGAAGACAAGTTTCTAAAAAAATATGCAATGATGAAGGTAATACATTTTCATTTAAAATTTGCCAAATCCAATTATTTATTAATAAATTTTTAGATTTACGAGAGTTGTTTTGGTCAAGAAGTGGTGAAGCAAATTCGAAAAGAAATGAGAGCCGCTTGTGCCAAATGTTCGGCATTGGAAACACCACCAGCACCTGAACAGAAACCACCAAATAAAAATGAAGAAAATCAATTTCCAGTTCAACCGAATTTCGATGCTGAAAAACTACATCAGGCTATTTTGGCATACAGGCCGGTATCTAAATACTCCCTAATTATTTTTTCTCACAATTTGAATTAAGGATAATTTTCAGAACTCTCCCCCATCGCCATTTTATCGCCCATACGCACCTACTGCAGGGATGGCACCCTTTTATGGGTTACCTTATGGCAGTCCGGCTTACCCCAACCCAATGCTTTATCCCACATTTTCGCAACAACCGACTCAGTTTTCTCCATATGGGGGTTTCCCCTTGCTCGGCCAGTCGTTCTACGGCAACAGAGCTTCCGTAAGTCCCCAACAACCCCCTAAAAATCACCTTATTGTTCGATACTTTAGCGAGACATGGATATTAAAACACAACTGGAGTCTCTGACCTCAAAAATGAGCAGTAAAGTCAGAAATGTTACCTGCGTAATGCAGGAATTGGGTTATTTAGACGAGAATTTGGAACCCAACTTCTTGAGAATATCGGAAAGAATTTCCGCTTTGCCTGTCGGTGAAGAATTGAAGCGAGATATGCAAGATGGGGTTACTTTCTGCCAACAATTTTCGGTAATTTTTACGACTTTTGAGTGATGTTATTAGTGTTTTTTTCTAGCAATGTGTCCCCGACGTGAAAAAAGATAAATCTCCGCTTTCACGCGAACTGATTCGACCCATGTTCTTTTTCAAATGCTACAAACATAAAAAATTGGAAGCTTGTATTATGAAAGATGTGAGGGAAAAATACGCGGGGGTTGCAGATGACGAATTTGATAATGATGTGGAATTGAGGAGAACTGGGAAAGCTTTGGACGTGACGAAATCCCAAGAAGAAGTTGATGAATTGGCGACGTCTATGTATGAATTTTTGTATGGAGAGGAAAACAACGTAAATCTTGAGGGCCTTTTGTAGAATGAATGAAATAATAGTTAAGAAAATACTCATAATTCCTACATGTCCGTATGAATTTAGTATTTTAGTTTTTTTTATATTTCGCAAATGTAGATTTTGTATTCTGTACTTAGGTATTTCTTAATTATATGAATTGAATTTTGACAATGGAATAGGTCAGTTCTTAGTTGATCATGTTTTATTGTCAAAATTTGATAACAAGGGTCGTGAAAGGAAATAAAAGCTATTTTCAAAATATTGTGTATTTTTTCAATAATTTTTTTGTATGATTTTGAGAACACATTTGAACTCTTAATAATAAGAAAAATAGTTTTAAACCGTTGTGATTTCCATGGAATAAAAATTGCTATTTTATTTAATGCCAGAGGCGATCGAAGAGAGCTCATTTGAGGGATTAACCAGAGATGTATACAAAACTTTTCTTCCAACAGATTAAATTGATAATAACATAAAAAAATTATAAATTTGTCAAATAATATCAGAATTATTAATTCAATTGCAATTTTAAAAGTAAAAATCAATATCGAGTTTGTTTATATGTCAAAAAACACTCAAAATATTCTAGTATTTTAAGAGTAAAAATCGGTATTTTATTCCCGAGGGAATAAAGAACCAGATTATTAGTCAAGAACAGGAGAATAAAACGTCACTTTATTCCCTGTTGGGAGGAAAATAAATAACCACCAATTTTAAAGTGCTTCCGTTTTTATTTGATTACTATTTCCAACTACAACATAGAGGTATACATAAATATAAAACAACATGATAGATAATAAAATTAATAAAAAAATATCACATTTAAGTATAGTAAGTAGGTTTCTTAAGACTAATTATTGTCATTTCAGTATTATTGTCATTAGTTTAGATCACTGAGTTCCCAATTACGAATTTTATTTTCTAATCTCTATTAAATCGCCATCTATTTCGGGTTTGTAAGTCAACAATCCAGCATATTTCTTAAGCAATTTCTTCCAATAGCAAGTAACATCAACCAACTTCAGATTATTCCAAATCATGTTATACCCATTTTCCGCAATCTCTTTAGCAACGTTATCATAATTCAACACAAATTGTAACAATTCTTCAATTTTCTCTTTACTCGCATTTGCCTCTATTGGAATGTAGTGAATCCAGGGCTTCAAAGCAGGATAGAAAAATTCCAGCCAATCATTTCCAACGTGAAAAACGAGAGATTTGCACAGAAGAATGTGTTTGAAACGAAAACTAGCAGCGACGCCTCTGAAATTAAAAAGGTACTTGTATTTGCAATGGTCTTCAAAAGACACTTCTGATGCCGGGGGCTGATGTAAAGTGTCCTAAAAAATTTGAAAGTTTTTCACAAAACTTTCCAAAAAAAAACAAACCGCGTCGGATTTCCAGGCCTGGTTTTTGGTATATTGGGCATCAACCAATTCGGGTTTTTCCCTAGAGAGGAGAACTAAAGGGTCGCGTTCTGCGCTAGTGCGAGAGCCGCGGAAGAACCCTTTAGGGATTTTTTCATCCCAGGGGGTCTCGTTGCCTTTTTTCCCCAACAATTCGCGATGAATGTCCCATCTCCCTGATTATAATTGTATAGTTATTTTAATGAAATTATCGCAACTAACCTATTCCTCGTGGGTAGAGGGATATGGCAGGGCCCCCTTCCCAAAATGCCCACGCTGGATACATTATATCATTATAATCACTTGTCTTGCTGAAAGAAAAAACAGGCCCAAAAACGCCATAATCTTTATGAATTTGGGGCCAATCCCTGGTGTTAATTATGAGCTCCATGTCAGGCAATTTGGGCAAAATTTTCAGTAAAAAATGCTCAATACCCGCACATCTAGCAGGGAACATGCAGTTCTTGTCTCTGTATAATTTATGGTCAATGATTTGATATTTAGTTCCTCTAAAAATGTACATTAAAATGCAAGAAATGTCTTTTTGTTGCTTTACTTCGTTTTAATTTTGTCAATTGATTGTTGACTTATTCCTTTTTTAAATATTTTTAAATCGTCTGATATTTGTGGAACGAAACAACCACATTTTGTGTTATCACAAGGTGAATAATTCTCCTTGGCGTTTTTTATCAAATCAAGGTACTTTAAATATTTGGTGTTGGCTTCTGCAAATCGCTTTGAGTTTCTTTATTATTATGCGCTTAAACGTACCTTTGGAATACATATTAACTTTCGAGGCGTTGCATTGTTCACTGTTTTCCTGCAAACACTCTTCATTTGCGTTGCAAAAGTGCACAATTATTAGAAATAGACATTTAAACAAAAGGAAATGCATTTTTGTTTGTTGAGGTTACGTTTCTGTCTCGTCACATGTCAAAACATCAATGCTACCAACCAGCAATTTAGATTTTTTGAATAAAACTGATAATAACTTTATAAAATCTTTTAATCATCACAATAAATAAATCACAATTCTGTTAAATACTACTTTAGTTGAAATAAAGTTTTCTCAAGCAAAATCAATTTCTCTTGTTTTCATTTCCTAAGCTAAACTCTTTTTTCAGTTGACTAGAAAACCTCAGAGATCTCTCTGCAAATCGTTTCATCTATTGTAAAACCCATTTTGATTTTGAGCAATATTGTACATTCCCATAGTGCAATAGAAAAATGGGCTGATTGCAGCTGCAACTAGTCCAACTCCTAAGACTGGTCTATACAAAATCCAAGCTGTTGCAATCACAAGTAGGGAAACAGAAGCCGAGATTGCAAAATTTGTTGAAGACGTCATATCGCCGGCCACAATATTTCGTAAAAATGGAATTCTGAAAACTATACGTATGATTAATAAAAATACTAGAATTATAAAAACTTACAGAAAATTTTAATCAATCTGGCTAAACAAACACAGGAAGCATACAAGATGAAAACACCAGCAGCCCTGATTTTCCACGTTTCTAATCTAACATCATAGTGTTCAGCATTGAACATTTGATTGATATTTAGGTCCCCATGGCGGAGAAGTGCGATTTTGTGACCTTTGCTGGTGGTGTAAGGGACTAAAACACCATCTTTTTGCATTGCAATTACAGTTACCTGTAATTATAAAATTACATTAATTTTGAGTTTTGTAAGAAAAATTCTTACGATTTCATTTGCAATTCCAGCATAATAAAATTGAACTCTGATGTCCCCCACTTCTGGGTTCCAAACGTCATCACAATGGTAGTAAATTCCCATATGGAGCTTCACATCTTTTCTTTCAGGTCTCTCATCACTTGTAACTTCCACATAATCATTGAACTTTTCTTTAATTTCGCTACCTAACATTAAATGACCAACACGGACAAAAGGGGATATGTAAGTATGTGATTTTAGTGGAATCTCACTGCAATTTTTTATCAAATTATAACAGTTACAAAATCGACTTTGTATTACATACGTGGGGTTGTGATGCCCATGCCTTATGTAGAAATTACTGCTATCTACAACCTTGTCTCTCCACTCTGTGACATAATAATAATCAGAAGTTTCATAATTCTGATCTAAGCCATTATCAACGTAATCCCTAGGTCTAGAATTGTTCCTATTAAATTGAACCAATGTATTAGAACATTCTTACGATCGCTCTTCAACCCACTGATACATCTGAACCCTCCGTTTCAACTTAACAGCTTGTATCGAAATGCCATATTCAGGTTCAGTTAAAGGTTCATCAATTCCCAAAGGGCCTGTAATATGGACCAAATGGCCATCCAATTCGGACCTTACATTCTCATAGGGGTTGAGTGAAATCACCCTGTTGTATGCCTCGTCCAAAGAATGGGCTTGGTGCACTGCCCTGCCCTAAAATCAAAACATAACCTCATTCACTTTAAAACAAAAAACTTACTTCATTCCATGTTAAAAGCCAAATTCCTAAACAAAGTATGCAAATACCGATAAGAGAAGTCAACCAACTTCTTTGGAACTCGTCTATTAAAGACGAAGAAGTTGATGGCATATTTGAGGTTACGTGACCCACAAAACACGCATGCCCGAAGTGTAGCATAAATCTCAGGGGTAATAAGATCGAACAGTTGCAGAAAATGCATTTTGTAGCCAAAAATGCCAAAAATTTAAGAAGAACTGCAAACTCGTAAGTTTATATTATGATTCTCTTCTCAAAATTGCTCACTTTTGCAAGTGGAATATTTTCTTGCTTGTTTTTTCTTTATTGAATTTATTATTTGGGGATATTGATTTTACAATGATGGTTTTGGTTGGTAGTTGCCATGTGGGGGAATAATTTAAATGTTTTTTTTTTAGATAGCGGGAAAATGAGAGCTCTTGTGGTATCCATATGGGTCTTTATCAATTTAGTATTTTTTGGTATGTGTGGATACATGTATTTGCTGTGGTCGCAATATTGGATGTTTATCGAGCGACAAACAGGGACAACAACTTCCACTTATGACCAGCAGATTTATTATTATAACAGAGGGTTTCTTCCTAATGATTCTAATAAAACCCATAACGAAACTAAGCTTCGAATCAAACACAGCCTTAAAGATAACGTCACAGTAACCTTAATTAAAAACAGTAAACCTAGATTTCCCAATTTGCAAGGCAGGGAGTTTGAATTAGACACAAAGAAATATATTTGTTTTAAGAATGATAGTTTTAAAAATTGTTCGAGTAAATCATTAGAGTTTAAAGAAAAAATTCTCAAGGAGTTGCGCCGAGTCCTCGAAGACGAGGGAAACGTTCTTAAAATCAGCGCAGAGAATCCTTACAACGTGCAATATAAGGGCACCAAAGGAAATTTTTATGATAAAACACCCAAGGAAATAATGTGCGAGTTGAAAAAAATTCAAGTAAAAACATTAAAACGAGGCGATGTCGACAGAGGCCCCCACAACCTCGGCGACTTTCTCCCCAAGAGAGGTTTATTTGAAAATCGCAAATTTAACAGTTGTGCGATTGTTGCCAGTGCCGGTGCTCTCAAAGACTCAAATTTAGGCAAAAATATCGGTGTGTAAATTTACACATCCTGTATTTATTAACATAATTGTAATTTTAGACGCTCATGATTTAGTTTTGCGCTTCAATCACGCTCCGACCAAAGGCTTCGAACCAGATGTAGGCAGAAAGACAACAATCCGCGTGTTGAACTCGCAAGTTGTTACCAGAAAAGAATTCAATTTCCTGGAATCCGATATTTATAAAAATGTAACGATTGTTGCGTGGGATCCGAGTAATTATAAAGCCACTCTTGATGAGTGGCTTGAAAAACCGGAATTTAATTTATTCCCGACCTATATTGAATACAAAAAACGAAATGTTAAAGCCAGATTTTTCCTAATAAATCCCCAAAGTCTGTGGGAGTTGTGGGATTTTCTTCAGGATAACTCACCGAGCAGACTTAGGAGAAATCCACTCTCATCGGGCTTTTTGGGTTTGTATCCTTGATGTGATTAACATTAATTAAATATTATACAAATCAAATTTCTATCAGATTGCGTACAGTACCGGACAATATATTTGGTCCATCATTGTTCTGTCACTTCATAAAAATTTGACGTAAACCCTGTATTATTGTCAATTAGATTGACGTTACATACGCTACGTACTTTAATAAAGTTAATATTTTTTCTTTTTCTAAAGGGGATGTCACGTAGACAAATTTCTGCAGCATTGACAATCTACGATCATCTGTGTTACAATAACAAGACTTAAGAGGTGAGGTTAGTTCACATCTAGCCTGCTTTAGAGGCGAATGTCATTTAGACATTTGTGGTGGATCAAATTTATTGTCCGGCACTGTAATAGTGAGAACGTATATCGCATGGCGGTTAAAAATTAAAATATTGCCTATGCAAATGCAAATTGAATTATTCTATGAAACGTCTTGAAACATCCTAAAAAGGGATGTTGTTTATTCATACAAATCGTTCAAAACGGTTTGCTGTCACAATTTACATAAAAATTATTTTGACATTTCTCATTTGTCATTGTGACATTTTATTTTCCGCAGACACATGTTTTTCTCTACGCTTGCTTGGTAGTTGGTAGACAAACTTTTTGATCGCACTGTATTTTATTTATTATACAATTTTGCAACATTCTGTGCTCGGGAAGTAAAAATGTAAAAAAAAACTAAATTTCTTTGCGTAGCAACTTCAACTTTTGCTTTTGCATTACCTCGGTGGTAATGTCTTTCTCGTTTGGACTCTATCAAATCTTACGCTTCGCCCTCGGTTCGAGCTCCTGAGACCTCGCGGTAATCACATGTTTCGCATGAAATTTACTATTATTTATTTCACGTTGTCTACGGTATGGACTCCTAGTAAAAAACTGTTAGGTGGAGAAAAAGAGAATTAATATGAATTTACTCAAAAGGCGTGTAATTCAAGTGAGTAATTTAAAAAACCTCACATTTTATGCAAATATATTTTGATAACAGTCTGAAGAGTTATAAAACTAAAACTGTAACTCCATGATTCACATTTAAAATATTTTACTTTAAATATGTTATAAAACAGATCAAAGAAAACAATAAATTTAATTAAAAACAATTTTTTCCTGAATTTCATTTTCGCATTTGATATGCTTTATTTATTATAGTTTTTGTTTTACTATGTACAATTTATTTCTTGGACTAGTAAAATCGAACTTAATTACTTCTCTCGTTAAAAGAATTTCTCCTCTATATCCACATTTTTCTTAGCTTTGGATCAAAGTAATATTTTTTTTTAGATGAGACTTTGTGTAAATCTGTTAGAAACATCTGACATCATGCATCTTACAATTGCATTTATTGTACGGAAGCAAACAGAATGAGTTTTAATGGAAAATTGCTTATAATAAATCTCTGTGTTGCGGTTCCATCATCAGAAAAGTATTGATATCTTCTCATTTTTTCGCAGAATTAATTAAATTAGTAGTGTGTAGACACTTGATTTTTGCGTTACAAAATTTGTTTAAATCAAATTGAAATTAATTTCGCTATACGTAATAGCATTTACCAAGAATTCAGTGATTAAGAAAACATTCTTTTATTAATTATGTAGTTTAAAATGATTTTTCGCCTGAAGTCGCTCTTAATTTTTCCAGTTTGTAAGGCAATAAATTTATGGAAAACTTGTGAATAACTAGATTTTATCGTTTAAGTACAATGAAGCGTTGTATGTGACTTACTTATTAATCATAATCATTTAGTTTTCTTCGTTTTCCAAAAATAGTGACTTGTGGATTTAATGTATTTACAATTTATCACGAACAGGAAACAATGTATATTTCTATCAAAAATTGTTGCTTTATTAAATAATATATAAGTGGAATGGCTTATGATTAATTTGCTTATTAAAGAATAAAAATAATTATTCATGTTGGTATCGAAATTACCGGCGACTTTTTTTCCGGAAATATTTAATAATTAGGAAGTGGTATGGGTGTTTCAAAATCTGGTCTAAGGTTTGTTTTATACGGAAATGATTCGTACCGGATCACTGTTATGCAATAGCCATTTGACAAAATTTAGACACTGTTACATAAAACTGTTTATGTATAAGTTTTTCGTTAGATACATAATCAATTTTTAATACTTTCAACATTTTTTCAGGTTTGGGTATTTTGCTTCCTCTGTGTAATTTCATCGACGTTTTCGAATATGTCCCTTCAACCAGGGTCACTAAACGTTGCCACTATTACGATCCTGAAGATAATCCAGCTTGTACTTTCGGAGTTTGGCATCCATTAGCTGCTGAAAAACTTCTTACTTACTACATAAATACGATCGATGATCGGACAGTGTTTCAAGATGGTTATGTTCGCATTTCGGGGTTCAAAAATGTTAAATGTTGAGTAGATGTTATCAATTAAAAGAAATTTTTGACTAAGTTTTAAATTCGGAATTACAGATGTGGTCTTTGATGAGTCATTCATTTTTGTTGCTTGATTTCCGCTTTTGCATATTATTGTGTGAGTGTAAGCGGTTTTGCGGTGAATTAAGAACATCCATCGGCTAAACACTGTTTCCGGAATTTCAGACTTTTGTTCTTTCTATTGTATTTTTATGTTGTCTATCATTTTTTATTTTTAAGATTTTATTTGGTCTGCAAAAAGTCTTGTGATATTCTAAACATAGTGATAATTTTAAATCTAAAATAAAACTTTTTCAGTAGTGTTTACTTAGAATGAATAAAATTTGTATTAATTTGTTTCTTGTAATTCAAATTATGAAAATAAAATAAGGAGAGAAAGAAAAAAAAATATATTATTATTATTATTATTATTATTATTATTATTATTATTATTATTATTATTATTATTATTATTACTTATTATTCCCAACTTTAAGATGGATTTAGCAAAAATAATATTTGTTCAGAAAATTTATGAATTTTTTTCCATTTAACTATGCATTTTTTTCTGTGATAACAGGAATCTGCCATGTGTCATTATTGAATTAACGTCACTTTACATTCTTTTTTTCAGATTCATTTCGAAAATGATGTGTAATCTTAAATATGTATAAAAATATCTTAGATTTTTTGTTATACATTTATTACACATTTATGTAAATAATTTACTTCTCACTTTAGTATCTAGTCTAGTACAATTTTAAATTTTATTTTCATTTAAAAATTTATATTAAATACTTGTGTTTGCAGAATTTTGAGCATTTTTTCTTAAGAGAATGTTATAAATAATCGTAATGACGTTAACATAATAATTTATTGTTGCAGTCATCATTTTCACAATATCTCGTTAATTGATTTCAGGATTGCAAGTTCTTTGTTTTAGATGTTTTTTTTGTTGTTGTTAAAACAGTAAATGCAATAATTTTCTTGTTGAATTAGGTTTTCTTCATTTTAGACCTTAATTTTGTAATTCTAGTAAAAATAATATACAAGGTGTAACAAAAAGTTGTGGACAAATAAGAATAACCTGAGACTCCCCATGTCAAAATAAGGTGATTTAACCCAACTTACATATGTACGTACTATGTACATAGAGGTACAATCTCTATGCCAAGTTGCACCGTAAGTTAGAGGGTGCCAAAGTTTCAAAATTATTTTCGTTCTTTTTGATAACTTTGTAATAGATTAATCGATTTTTATGTCATTTGGTACATGCAATTTGATATCAAAAACACATGTTTTGGTGCTATTTCTTTTGTGTTATTATTATTGTAAAGTACTTGCTTACCTATTAACAACTTAGTACATTTTAAGCCATATTTTTATTATATTTTTATATAATCCGAGTGGCGTAATTGTTTTCGTATTCGAAAGATACATTATTTTTAAATAATTTTTGTATCTTATAAAATTTTTGTTTCGGCTTTGGTTTTAAAGTAAAAAAAATATTTAAGTAGATGCGTTAAAGTTTTGGCCATTTATTGTTATTGTTTTTAAAATTGTATAAAAAATTTTTTAGATTTAGTTTTTTATATAATGTCATTTATGTCCTCTAATTTTTAAATGGTGAAGTATAAAGGTAAGTCGGGTTAAATTGCTTTATTTTGACCTCTTTGTCCCCATCTTTTCATTACACCCTGTATGTACAGTGATGGACAATGAATTTCGTCCACCCAATTTCTGTGAATTCACAAAAATTCACTGTAGTCTGTGCTTTATTGTCATGATAACTGACATTCAAATACGTATTGTCAAATTTAATCAAATTCGAACATGCCAGCAGTGCGTTTAATAAAACAAAAATTATCTCTCTGGTACAAAAAGGTTTGTCTCAAAGACGTGTCTCTATACTCTTGGGCCTTCCAAGGACTACCATTTCAAAGGACAAAGGTAAAAAGTAGCAAGGAGCATCAAGCATTCTGTCAACATGACAAACGTTAATCAAAATTCTGAAACAAGGTTAGGAAAACCTAAAGATTAATTTACACTTTTAATCTGTCATGGAAATTGGGTGGACGAAATTCACTGTCCATCACTGTACTAGAATTATAAGAAATAGTTATTTATGGTATAAGTGGGTGTTAGGTATTACCTACGAGGGCTTGCCCGAGTAGGTTATTACCTCCAGTAGGTAATATCTAATAACCCATGTATGCCAGACAACGTTTTATCCAATATTCCTGGATTTTTATCTATTAAATCTGTTAAAAATAATCTGACGTTTCATATTGAGAAGTGCCAAACAGTTGTTAAAACTTCCTTACACGAGAGAAAAACCGTAAATTTTTACAGTGTCGAAGAATAAACAAATTTTCCACTGATTTGCCTGGTTTTATTTTAAAATTTCATCAAATTTTAATCAAAACATTTGTTTCAAGGTGAAAATGATACGAAAAAAGAAAATGAGAATTCTGCTTCTGGTTTGAGTCGTTGAGTCCAGAGAGATTCCTGAAATTCATTTTCACGGTACACTTTCAAATGTTCATTTCTATTTTGGAAAGAGATCTGAAACATAATTTCAAATTTGATGTACCTATTCTTAAATAAAGTGTTCAGAATATCTATTAAAATTTTATTTCATCCTGCAATGGTTTATGGATGGTAATATCCCACGGTGCTAATGGCAACGTGGGTTATATCAAACAGTCAAGTTATTGCTCAGTTTACTTAACAAAAACTAACAAGTTATCCAATACTATTTACTATTGAATATTGGATAAAAATTATTTACTATTTACCTAGATTAGATATATACAATTATTGTAAATATTTATCTATAGTAAAAACCAGGAGGGTAGACGGGTGCGTCATCAATTTCATTTTTTCATTACCAACTTAAAAGTGAAATACAAAATTCTATCACAACGTAAATTGAAACAATTAAAAGGCCCTTAAGGATGGTAGCCTTGAACATTAATTTACATACGTACTTCAACTACACCACTCAAATGTCATGTTCAAGTGAATTTGTCAATTTGACATTGACAGTAACATTATTGTCGTCGTTGAAATTTTTTTTGGTATAATTTGCAGGTATTTTTCGTTTATTGGTTGATTTCTTGCTTTTGTTCTGCGTCTCATTGGTTTCTTTTAATAATTCCTTACGATTAAGTAACTTCTATGTAATCAGGAATAAATGCACTTGTGTTAGTGTAAAAAATTGAAATAATGAGGGGTCACCGATAAAGATTAGCCCCCCCCCCCCATCATCCTTTATTTATTCTACAAAAAATGGGGCCAATCTTATAAAAAAAACATTCATATGCTGTTTTAGTACTTTACATATTGTGTCTGCTATGGCACAGACCACACTTTGTAAATAAAATTGTGATTATTTGAGATATTTGAGGTAAATATGACCGTTGTTTAAGAAGCCTATTATTTAATAAAGTAATTAACAGTACAAACTGAAATCGACGCATTATTATGACTCTCAGATGAGTAACCTTCTGGTTTTCATAAGATCAGAATAAAAGCTTCTTAACGTTTATAGTATATTTTCGAAGGATGTAAGATGTAACTTTGTTTTGTAGACGTCTTGAATTTCAACTTTTTACCTGGAAGAATGCATAAGATCGTCTATAGTTTTAAACTCTTAAAAAAAGTCGATGTAAGAAATTACTTGTCCACGCTTCTTATGTCTTTGATGATTCTTATTTATGAAATACCGATTTTGCATCCGTTTTCTTCTCAACATACCCACTGTTCTTTAGAAAATCGGTTTTATACTGATGTAGACTAAAAATTCCGAATTTTAGATACAACATCCAAAAGCATTGAAAAACATAATGATGTAATGAATACACTGCATGTAGAACGTCGTTTCCAATCTATTACATTAAATTTTAAATGCCTTTGCAAAGAATCGTACAAAGCAACACTTTCATCATAAACAACTTCTAACTGAACCTAACGTCAAAAAAATTGACGTTTTGTCATCGCGATGCAAACGTGGTAAGGAGAAACGTCAGATGACGCACCGGTCAACCACCGTGATTTTTCCTATATAATAAATATTTACAACAATTGTAATATATTTTTCAGATATGTAAGTACAATATGTCACAGTAGCTTAACATAAGAACAGACAATTTTGTATAATAAAAGATATAAAAATTCATAGAATAGCACAAGAAGTATTTGTCACACACATGGGAAATAAGAATACCACTTTAAAATAATAATTCCCGTTATAAGTTCGGTGTTCAGTAATAAGTAAGTCAAATATCGGATGTATCGTAATGTATTTTTTTACGACTCCAACAGAAAGTAAGTTTTTCCACCCTAAGTGGTCAATTCCTTTTCACTGAAGTAAAAATCTCTTTCATAGGAACGGAAAAACGTGCTGGTAGATTTAATGGCGAAACTGGGATATCAAGAACAATAATTGTTAGTTTTGAAGTTTTTCTTGCTGGATCGTATAGGAAAAATTATATGACTATATACGAAACTAGATCATAACGCACAATGACATATGCGCGAAAATTGGCAATATCGTACGAGGTCAAAAACCTGAGCGATTTGTTTGTTGTTTTTGCCTTAGAAATCTAACGCACAAATTACACTCGAATGTTTTGTATTTTTTCATTCAACGTATTGTTTTTGTATCCATTATCAAAAATAAATCGTTATTCAACGTAGTTTTGTCTCCATTATAAAAAATAAATCGTTATTAAAAAAATATGTTTGTAAGAAAAAAATTATTTATGGTCGTAGGAAAAATAGTGTATGTACAAAACTTGCAAGAAAGTGTCTAACGCATTCGCGGGATTGTCTGCACTCGGCTGACGCCTCGTGCGCAACTTTCCCGCTTGAGTGTTATTTATCACTTTCCGTGCTCGTTATGTAATATACTAATGTATTACACCAAAGAAAAGTGTTATTTGCTGTCTGGGTGCTAATAATTCATTTGACAATTTATATTGTGTCAAAAATCACATTCCGGTAACTAAGTGTTGCTTGCTAACACTTTCCAAGAATATATACACTGTGTCAATTTTAAAACTTGCAATTGGCAATTTTTCTCAACTAAAAAAGTTATTAATAATCTCTCAAAACCGTTTTGATGGTTCCTAGGGGGAATTAAAATGACAAGATAAGTGACACACTTCCACCCACCCTTGAATATAATAAAAAAAATGAAAATTTAACGTCTTCGTTTTTGAATAATTGGAAAAATGGCTTTACCAAATAGGCTGTTGTATGACAATTTTGAAAAGCGTTTCTTATGGGCTTTCCAACCATATATCGCAAGTAGGGTCGTGCCATTTCAAATTTTTAACTTAAGGTGGCTGTGGC